TGACTGCTGCACTGAAGAAATGTTGGGGAAGAGGGGCATATTTCCCTGAAAATATGTTGCTAAAGTCTACATTGTACCATCGTTTTCATTTCTCCTTCCTCAAATATTTTAGAAATAAAAAAGTAGACTTACTGACTTTGAATGTCACCTCCTCGGCCCGCCTGTGGCAGTGGCATCCGTGTAGTATGTAGTCTTGAGGTCGAGGAGCAGAAGGGAGGCATGAGGGGGGCCTGGAGGGAGGGCACTTGAATCATCAGCCACAAATTATTTTTAGACCTTGAGTAATTGAATGTTTTCTGTCCCCAATTTTTGCCAAAACAGGAGGGCCACTCACTGAGAACCAGGGTGTCTCTGCCTTACCTTCTGTACTTGAGTGTGCTTTTGGGTACTGTGTGTCCTTAGAGGGAAGGAGATGGCCATGCAGAGCCTGTCACTTGCTGCCCTTGCTCCCCGTGGGTGGACACACCTCCTGCTTGTCTGTTGGCTTATCCTCTTCTGGCAGTGGCACACAGGCTTGCTGCCTGAGTTCTCTCTAGAGATTCTTTCATTCCTTTTTCCTGTGACCTAGCCCCATCATTTCTTTTCCTTTACTGCTTTCAGGTGGCCTCCTCCTCAGTCTCTATTTCCTCACTCTGATTGGAGTTACTAGGATGGAGGACTCACATGTGACCTGTCAGAACCATCCTTTAGCTAGTTTTTTTTTTCCTCCGGTAGCCAAGGAAAGGTGGCTTTTGACTTGTCATGGGTGCCACAGTGACCTGACTACACTGCCTGCCACCTACCTTAGTGACAGAAGGTGGGATCCATCTGTTTGCACCAGCATGACTGGATCGCTCGCTCTCGTTCTCTCTCTTTCTCTGTCTCTCTCTGTCTCTGTCTCTGTCTCTGTCTCTGTCTCTCTCTCTCTCTCTCTCACACACACGCAATTAGCAGATGGGAAATTTATTTTTCAGGATTCACATAAAGCTGCCATTATAGGGAGGATTCTGGTGCTAATTTAGATGCAAATGGAATCACCCAACTAGAGCTGATTACAGAAAGGTCAGGGTGCCTGTATGCTCAGTTTCACTCCTATGCATTAAGTTAATGCAATGCTGCAGTTTGGGAATCATGTCTGTGCTTGGTTCTGGCCTATTTTTTTTTTTAATAGAGTTTTGACTTTACAAAAGTGGAATGTGACACATAGTGCCACCTCTTTCACCCACCTCCTTTTTATTTTTTATTTTATTTTTTCCTACCTCCTTTTTAAAAGAAAATGTCCATTTCTGAGAAGCTTGAAATTATAATTTTAAAAAATGCATTTTGGAGGCTTCTCTGCTGTGATAAAAGGGAATAGGCTGACTGTAAGGTTCAGTTGCCATCCTGTCCAGAAAACTGACCGCAACTGCGTGTGCACTGCTTCCAGAACTAGCCATGCTGCGTCACAGGCTGTCAGGGTGGTGAGCAGATGGCACAGGTTGTTGTGTTGTATTCATATATATATGGGGGGAGCACATATATGTGATATACTGCCCTGTGTTTATTTCCAATCCAGTACTCTGTGTATGCCAGAGTTTCGCAGTATAGTACTTACCCTTTTACTACATGTGGTGTATGCTAACATTTTCTATTTGAATCTAACTAAACTGCTAGTGAACCAGTAGACACTCAACATAAAGAAGGCTACAGGCACATGTTAGAGGAGAATGCAAAAAGTTGGCAAAGAAAGAATTATTTCAAAGGATGGACTACATTGGACTCAACTGTAATGAAAGTAATCTTTTCGGAACTCCTTTCTAGAACTTGGGCTGAAAAGCAAGCATATAAGAGTGCCTAAGCAGATATATTCTGTGGGGGTACCGTTCTCCGTATCTAGTCAAGTGTAACTATTTATTTATGGAAACTTTTACTTAGGTTATTTCAGTAACTATGGTCTACCTTTAGCATAAAATAATATTTTTAAGGTTTCATACTCTTCATCATATCCTAAGCTTTATTGCTATGTATGATAAGGTACTAAGACCTTCATTGACTATTTCTATGTAAGTTTGTGATAAATCTTGGTAGTCATGTAAGGCAGAAAGTCTTCCTTATACTTGCAGTCGATTGTCCTTCATCACTGGACTCTGCCAGCTTGCAACTTTGCTGTCCTGCTAATGCTATTGCAGGGCATTGGCGGAAGATTCTACTTTGCATTCTGCATAGCAGAGTGTCTTTCCTCTTGTGGTTTATCCTTAGCTTTCAAGTGATCACACTCAGGCTCTGGGCTCATCCTCATTAAGAAGTTTGTCTATTTGGGGGGATTAGAAGAAGTTTCTGAAAGCAAGATAATGGGGCAGGAAAAGATTTTCTGGGATAAAAGGCTTCTAAAGGCTCTGAAGATATGGCGGGGAAAAGGGATGGAAAGAGAAAGGAATGAGATTTTCCTGGTTGGGGTTTTAGTTTAAGGTGAGTATGACCTCACTTTATACAGAGTTTGCAACTTGGTGAGTAATGGAATTGGGTTTTTAATATTTATAGCATGTTATGTAAATGCTGCCCCTTTGAGTGCTTTCTTAAATCCTCTTAGCTTATTAATGACAACTTTGATTTCTAAAAAGAAGTAAAATCTTTTCATTTATCCAGCCTAAGAGTAGTAAACAATAGATGCTTAATGCCCTCCTTTCATGTTAGGCCCCAAAGCCTGAGACTTATGAGGAGTTTATTGCTGGGCTTTTGAGCTTATTAAGGTCATGTGTGACTCCAGGGGGAAAACTCATGCTGCATGATCTGTACAAAGGCAGCTCCCGGGTTCTGCGTGGCCTGTCAGTCCAGCAGTGCTTGGTAGTTAAGTTGAACTTTAGCATTAGAGAAACTACACACACGACCCATTTGGAATGATTACACTATGATACTTTATTCTAGTGATAAAGATTGTTAGAAAATTAGACTTCTGCCTAAATCATTTTGGATTAAGTTTCTGCTACAGTACCCCAAGATTGCAGTATTTGAGTGAATGTGAACTAATGGAGCTACATGTTTGGAATAGTTGCAAATCATTTCCTCCTTAGCTAAGCCTAATGACATCAGTTATTTTAGAGATCTTCATGAAAAAGTCCTTTAGGCTGGGGGTGCAGCTCTGGTAGAGTGCATGCCTATAATGCGTGAAGACTTGAATTTGAGCCTCAGCCTTGAAAACAATCCTTTTCTGGGCCTTCAGAATACATGTAGAGCAAAAGGAAGGATTAAAAGCTAAGCTCAACTCTGGCAGATGTAAATTGCCACAGATTTTCAGGCCACCCTTCAATTGTGAAAGTATCTTCTGTGTGCCAGGCTTCATGCACTGTCCTGGGACAATTAAAAAGATAGAATGAACAGCCCAGGACACTGTTAGAGAAGTGCCATGTACACCTGACTGGAGAAAACAGGGAACAAAGGATGGCAGCAGTTTTCAGAAGCAGGGAAGCACTCTTCTCAGCATAGTTTATTGGCCCCGTGGTTGATGCTTACCTGTTTCCATTGCTGTATTTGAGCTAGGGAGAGTCCTTTAAAGGGGGTCAGATGACAGTGTGCCATGCTGGATGTTGGGAAGTCTCCCCTAGCTGACACCAAACTAGCTGGGGAGGCTGTCTAGGCCCCTTAGGGCACTGCTGTGTGTTACTAGGGTCTAAAGCAACAATTCAGATGAACATTATACATATCCCTTTTTTAGGGTGAGGGCAACAGAGAGCTGATTAGTTATATTTTATCCACCAGGGCTCATCTATCCAGGGCACAGCTGAGCACCAAGAACCTTTCAAAAGTAATTTAAGCAACAGAAATAGATACTGCCAAGCCTTATGCACAGATGCATCGTCCACTCAGGGCTCAGATATCTAGCAGATCTGGACATCTGGCTTCTAAACTGACCCATGGATTTTGAAAGCTGAAAATTAAAAGGAGAAGAGGAATATAGTATAAATATAGTATATAGAAGCAGAGTAGTGGTATGATAAAGTGATAGCTCACGCTTTTAAAGGAGGAAGAAAGAAGAAAAGAGATAGTCTCTCAAAAACACCATCTGTTTGGTTTAGAATCAAGTGCATTTGATTGGTAGGGAGAGTTCTAAGGTGTGGTGCTGGAATCTAAAAGCTCGGACCATTTCTGTGCTGATTTTCATGCTTTCAGAAATGGGAATCTTTCTGCCCCCTTGTAGGAAGTAAACATTATAGTGACCTCCACAAGTCTTTCTCTGCTTCTAGGAGAATAATGAAGTGTATATTAGCTCTTAAAATACTCCCAAAATGTTTGGGTTCGTATTTTCTGTAAGCATCAGATCTTCAGCTTTTGAAAAACTTGACTCTTTCAGTGAGCTTTACTTACTGAAAGATTGACGTTTTACTGCATGGGAAAAATCACATAGGTAGAAAATACTAATTTATGTTGTTAAAAATGTCACAGTTACTTTATTAAGTGGTAAGTTTTTTATAAACAATACTTTGTGCATATTATGTAGCAAAAAAAGTGACCTGCAACTCTCCAGAAATACATGTGACCACTGTAGCATTTCATGTCTGTCCCTGTCCTTTGCAGTGGTTTTACTGTCATTATACTATAATTTTGCTTGCTATTGCCCTTTTTCCTAGCATAAAATAGGTTCTTATGTTTTTGGTGTCTTGCACATAACAGATTCCATTAAATATTTATTGAATGACTAATAATGAAACAAGTTACATTGAGGTTTCTAATTAATCCTTTATTAACCATGCAGATAGTTTTAATAATCTTTTTTCTCCATTTTTGATTACATGCTAAAATCTTTATGGTATTTGAACTGCACCTAATTAGAGTTGTTGGAAGACTTGAGTTGCTGCTTTTGGCCTCTGCCTTTTTCTTACTGAATTAAAGGAAGGAAGCACACGAGTGCCTAGAGTATGTGACTGGTTCCAATGGAGCACTGAGTGTGGCACAGCCAGTGTGTCTGGGGTGGGGTCACAGCTGGGAGGCTGGGTGCCAGGAGATGAGAGGATGCTCACCCGTGCTCTCCATGCCCTTGCTCCCAGGTGACTGTGGAGGAAGTCATGACCACAACTGCTTACCTGGACCTTTTCCTGCGCAGCATCTCAGAACCAGCACTGCTGGAGATCTTTCTCCGCTTTATCCTGCTGCACCAGCATGAGAATGTTCACATTCTGGACACTCTCACGAGCCGAATCAACACCCCCTTTCGGGTAAGGAGGAAGAGAACTTAGAACTAAGGTTCCAGAGTTCGTTTGGGGAATGAGATTGTGAATGTCCTCCTGCCTACCCCCTTTACTTAGACTGTCCATTACTTTCTATTTGGATAGAGATGAACTAGATTTGTTTTTCCTCTCTAACCATGAGTGCTTTTGTCAGGGGAGAGGCACTTACTGCTTTTCATAGAACATTTTCCCTCAGTTTTTCTGTGTAGGCACTTTCTTCTGTAGAGCTAGCCAAATGAAATTCTACAGGGGTAAGATTCTGGAGAACATAGAGGCTTAGATGCTGAGGATCCAAGGAACCAGAATGGATCAGGTCTGGGGATTAGAGATCCTATTTCTATGGCGGGGGAGCGTTGAAGTGAAAGTGGGATGTTGTGAAGTCTGGATCATTCGAAAGTTGGGAACTCTGCTTAATTGAAGGTTCTCTCACTACTATTGGCTTCACCTGTCGTGACCCTCTCAAAAAGCTATTGAAATTATTGTTTTAAAAGCAAAAGGAGTCAGAGGTTCGATCCCCAGGCCTGCTGTGCTGGCCCCGCCCCTGGGGCACACTGAGATGGCAATTGAGACTGGGCATGGTGGTGCACACCCAGCTCTTGGGAGGCTGTAAGCAGGCGGATCACTACGAGTCTGATCTAGTAGTGAGACCCCTGAACACCATGTAGACCCTTCCCTAAAATACAAAAAAATAAATAAAATGAATAAAAGCAAAAGACCTCTTTCCCATCATGTAAGATGGCAGGCAAAAAAGCTGAGAAGCCAGACATTAAAGAGAAGAAACCCAAAGCCAAGGAGGCTGCTGCCAGTGGTACTAGTAAAAAGGGTAAGGTAAAGGCAAAAAAAGTCCAAGAAGTGGCAGCCTCACTGCAGGCAAAATCCTGTCCTGGTTAGAGGAATTGGCAGATACTCCCAATCTGCTATGTATTCCAGAAAGGCTTTGTACAAGAGAAAGTACACAGCTGCTAAATCAAAGGTTGAGAAGAAAAAGAAGGAGAAAGTTCTTGCTATGATCACAAAACCAGTCAGTGGGGACAAGAAGGGAGGTACCTGAGTGGTTAAGCTTCAAAAAATGCCTAGATACTACCCTACTGAAGATGTGCCCCAAAAGCTTTTGAGTCACGGCAAGAAAGTCAACATGTGAGGAAACTGAGCTAGCATCACTCCCGGCACCATCTTGATCATCCTCACTGAGCATCACAGAGGCAAGAGAGTGGTTCCTGAAGCAGCTGGCCAGTGGCTTGCTACTTGTGACTGGGTCTCTTAGCCCTGGTCATGTTCCTCTATGAAGAACACACCAGAAATTTGTCATTGCCACCTCTACAAAAATTGGTATCAGAAAAGTGAAAATCCCCAAACACCTCACTGATGCGACCTTCAAGAAGCTGCAGAAACCCAGACACCAGGAGAGCGAGATCTTCGACACTGAGGAAGAGAGATAACAGATTTCAGAGCAGTGCGAGATGGATCAGAAAGCAGTGAACTCACAGATTTTAGCAAAAATCAAAGCTGTTGAGCTCCAGGGCTGCCTGTGATCTGTTTTTTTCTCTGACAAATGGAATTTATCCTCATAAATTAGCATTCTAAATTTCTTACTAAGAACCTAATTAAATAACTAATACACTTAAAAAAAGAAAAAGAATAACTCAGTAGGTTTTTTGATTTTGATATATATATAGATATAACATATTTAACAATAATAGCATGAAGATGGGGGATGAGAACTATATAGGAGTAATATTTTTATATTTCGCTGAAACTAAGCTAGTATAAATCTGAAGGAGAGCCTGTACTCCTTCAGATGCTAGATGGGAAGAGCTGACTAGAGAAGCTACTAGCAAATAACAAAAATGCAAAAGGAATTAAGGTGTTATACTAGAGAAAATAGTCACTAAACATTTCACCTAATGTGAGCAGAATAAACATTCTTCTCAAGTGATGGGCGTTCTTCAAGACAAACCAAAAGTCTTACTGAATTTAAAAGGATGGTGATAATGCAGTGTAAGTCCTCTTCTCACATAGATTGAATTTTATAATTATTAACAGAAATTTTGGAAAATCACAATTACATAGAAATTAAGGTATATACTTCTAAATAACTTTAAGTAAATCAAAGAAGAAATCACAAGGAAAGAGAATTTACTTTGGGATGCTACAGTATGGATAAACCTTAAGGATATCCTACTAATTAAAGTGGTCCAATCATGAAAAGACAAACTGAATATAATCTATTATGAATATAAATACAGATATAATCAGTAAAACATAAGCACATAGAATCTATAACATATATTAGCATATATAAAAAGATTATACATCTCCAGTGGAATTTATCAAACCAGGACTAGAAAGCTGGTTTAAAATATGAAAATAAATGAGTGTAATTCATTATATCAAAAAGCTAAAGGAAAAAATATATAATCTCAATAGACACAGAAAATGCTTGATAACATTCATCATGATGAACATACTTAACCACAAACAGGAACTTCTTTAGTCTGAAATAAGGCATCAGTGAAAAACTCAATAGTACTATCTTACTGAATGGGGAAAAAAACTATTCCTTTAAGGTAAAAATAAGGTAAGAATGTCTGTTCTTACCAGTTCTATTCAAATAGTGCTTGAAGTTCTATTCAGGGAAATTAAACACACACAAAAAAAATTCGCCCAGAGCAGAAGTGAAATTACCTGTCTTTATAGGTGATGTGATCTTATATGTAAAAAGCTGAAGGATGCACTAAAAAAGCATTAAACGTTCTAATGAGTTTAGTAAGATTATGGGATGCAAGATTAATTAATTTTATTTTTATATAATAGCAATGGGCAGTTGAAAAATCAAATTAAAATCCTATTTACAGTAACATCAGAATTAATAAAATATTCAGGAGTAAATGCCATAAAAGAAGCATAAAATTCATACTTTGAAAACTACAAAAACAGCTAAAGAAATTAAAGAAGACCTAAGTAAATGGAAAAATATCTTGTATTCCAGGCTGAAAGACTTGATATTGTTAATATAGGAATGCTCCTCAAATTGATATGCAAATTTAATTCATTCCTTTTAAAACTTCCAGTTGGCTTCTTCATTAAAATGATGATTCTAAAATTCCTATGGAATTGCAGAGGACACAGAATAACCAAAACAAACTTGAAAAAGAACAAAGAGAACTCTTTAATTCCTGATTTCAAAGCTTACTTTAAAACTATATTAATCAAAACTAACATAAAGATAAACAGAAGAACAGAGTAGAATTGAAGTCCAGAAGTAAATTTACATATTCATGGTCATTGGTTTCTTAACAAGATTTCTGGATCTTTCAGTAGGAGAAAGAATAGTCTTCCAAAGTGGTGCAGGGGAAACTGGATATGCACCTGACAAAGAGCGAGGTGGGACCTTGCACCATGCGTAAAATTAAGTCAAAATGAATCAGAGGCCTATACAATTAACGTACAACTCTTTAAAAACATAAAGTATATACTTGTGGCCATGGCAGTGGTTCCTTAAGTATGACATCAGAGTCATGAGCAACAAAAGAAAAAAATAGATAAATTGGACACCATCAAAATGGAAAACTTCGTGCTTCAGGGGACACCAGCAAGAAATTGAAAAGACAACAGAAAATGGTAGGACATCTTTGTAAACAATATATCTAATAAGATACTTGTACAAAGAATAAAGAAAGTGCTATGCACACAAAAGCATACCACACTGATCACCTTTGACAGTGATTTGTAGGGCTTACTGTGGCAACAGATAAGAAGGATGTGTAAGTGAGAAAAGGAAGTGTTGGGTGGTAGTACTGTAAAGACAAGAAATAATTTTTTTTTCAGAGCAGGAAAATTTTTATTTGGAGAAAGAAAGCTTTTCTGAGAGCGACAGAAGGGGGGCCCACCAGGAAAGTGGGCTATCCACTGACCCTGCTTCT